TCTGCGGTTCCTGGTTCCCGATTCCCGGTTCCCGGTGCCCGGTGCCCGGCTAGTTCCCTTTTGTTTGATTTTCAAATCGCTCTCTGTTGGGTTGTCACGAGTCCATTTCCATATTGGGTTCGGTTCGGATCTTTCCTGCCGCTCAAACGATATTTGCACAAGTCGCTAATTAATTAGACGAGCCAGTAGCTCAATGAGCTGTCGTCTTGACTTATTTTTAATCGGATACTCAGCCACACTTGGCATGCAAATCAGGGAGCACACGCGGACGGGTCGGACAAGCAACTCGTAATCCAATTTAAAAAACCATCGCCGTCAGTGGCTTCCTTTGACTGCCACATAAATCAATGGGATATGCGCTTAAAATTCATATCTTGCCAGAATGTAAGTTGTATTTTAAGCTTTTTATCGTGCCTCAAAGGCGACTGCAACGCGCGACGCATTACTCATGCTTCAAGTGTGCCCATCCAAGAAATCCCCAGCCCAAGCCCCAGCCCCAGCCCCAGCCCTAGCCCCCTTCCCATATCCTGCTCCCAGTACAGATCCCAACGAATTGAAGACGACGTGAGCAGAGCGGCGCTTAGGCTGTCTTTGGCTTGGGAATATGGCGAAGAAGGTGAACTCAGGGCATTAGTCAAATTGTTGGACCAAGTGAGGCAGTATAACGAATCGGATCACAGTGCTTCCAGAGCTGGTGATCGCAGTGCCAGCTCATTATACTGAGCTAATTAGGGCCAAGGTGGCTCTAACCACTATACTGATGGTCACCACTCTAACGATCGTTAAGGAAAAAAAGCAACAGTTGTATTTTAAGTGGCAGAAGCAATTATACATACATACATATCTATAAATATTTTCAAAATGTTTTCAATTTTACACTTTTGTCACTTTGTTTGAATGCCAGACATCAATCATAAATCCATGATGTACAAACTCATGCTATACTCTTTACGAGTACATACACATATATAATACGAGTATACATATCTCTATTTATGCTTTCCGCAGCAAATAAATATATTTCCGCAGTTATTTGTTATCGCTAAGAGTGACTTCCCGTGCTGAGAAAGAGCAGAAGAGATCATAAGTTTATGGCAGCCAAATCTGTGGGCCATTTAGGCATTGAGACCCGTTACGGAAACTGCAACCAAGAGCCACGTGTTGCATGTGCAACACGAAACGGCGGTAAATGATATTTATGTGCGTCGTCTGAGTGAATGGAAGTACCGCGTTAACGCCAAATACCATATTCGGGGGGCTTGAGGGGCCGACAGCCGACAGCCGACATGTGTACCGTGTACCGGGTACCGTACCCGCAACACGAGCTACTTAAGCTCGTCCCGTATGTCTGCGACTTTATGGCTCAAATGCGTTATAATTCAAGCCCGATTGCCTGACCACCTGCTCGACAGACATTCGAGTCGTTGTCACGTCTCTCTGTCTCTGGCCTAGTCCACAATAAATATTGGCCTCTCACATAGCGCCGGAACGAGTACTCGTGATATATCATCATTTTACGACATGCCGACTGTTGCACTTGATGCGCATTTATTTCTGAAAGGCTCGAACCTCTTCAAGCCTTTTGCGGCTCCAACTAAATGTTGCACAACTTAAATTCGGGCCCGCAAATTGCTTAACGAGCTCTGGCTTGGCTTCCATTGAATTGCATTCCCCTCCTAGTTCCTCCTAGTTCCCTGCCCACAGACACGCACGTAATGAGAATCGGACCCCTACTGGCCGACACGACTGGAACTGCATGGGATGGTTTATTTATAGCAAGCTGCATAGTGGAGCCCTAAATTATGGGCAACATTCTGTTGATAATCAGCGCCAAGCACACAGTAGCTGGCAACTTGTTGCTGAAGGCTGACTGCTGACTCAGGCGCCAGGCAGCACGACAACGACGTCGCCGCCAAGTCTGCGATTTTATCTGCTCCTCTGTCCACTCTATCCCTTGGTGCAGCCTACAAGTTGTGGCATTTCGTGTGGAGCTGTGTGGGCTGTCAACGCTGTCCTCTCTGCCACTTCGCAAAGATCAAATCTTGTGTCTTTTTGGTATAAGTGGCAGACCAGACCCATTTGGCCGTTGTTTGTAGTGATAAGAAGACTCTTAAATGGCAGCGTAAATACTAAAAACTTGCAGGCACGAGTTGAAGCTAATTTGTTGAAATTGCATGATGTATGTAAGGAAAGTGATTCTACTTAATAAAGGCAGGTCCAAAAGAGATCTGCCTAAATTACTGCTGCTCACAAAATCTAGTATGCAGAAATCTAAAGAATAACCTCATTGGAATAACTTCCCTCGATTTTGCTTGATTTCCTCTGTTGGATGTGTGCCATTTCGTGTCTAATTTTATATCATGTTTCTCCAAGAGATATTCTCAATATTCTTTGCCACCTGAATGTCTAAGGCCCCATCTGGGAGCGACTTCCTCCAGCTTATGGCACATTGTTGCAACCTTTAGCGTATTAATATGAGTGACTGCTACTGCTGCCGGTTGGGTATCTTAACAACTTAATAATTTATTTGTCTCTCCCGCGGGCACATGTGTCACGGCCACGTCAGTGTCACAAAAGGGACAGAGAAGACACCGCAGCGCCGCCTGACAGGAGCTCTTGAATTATTTACACGATTTGCATGCGTAGCAACTTTAAAGACGTCTTCGTCTTCGGTGTCGCTGTGCTGCCGTTGCCGTTGCCGTTGCCTCTGCTGGTGCCTCTGTTGCTGCCTCTGCGTCTGCGGCGCATAAACATGTCATATTATTATTATTTTTTTCTGTCTGATAAAAGTTTCTTCCCCCGAAGGGAGCTTTTTATTCGGACTGCGCACTTGATATATTTTTTTTATGGCGATGTGTCATAAAAAAACAGACAGGGGAGGGAGATCGCAGCTCAGAAAATGTTTTCTAAAGGATTGGGAGGATGACGAGGACGCCACAGGAGAGGGCAGCTTATCAATGCAAAACAGACTCTCGGCATTAGTCCCGGCCGGGGTCCGGCTCTGAGCCAGTCAGCCATCCAGCCAGTCAGCCCTCCACTTCATATTCAAAATCACTCCCCACTTCTCCCGAGAGTGAGCAGAGTGGGCAGAGTGGGCAGAGTGGGCAGAGTGGGAGTGTGGCCCGGTCCATCTCTGACGGCAATGCATTGTGCAGGAAGCGTTGAAGCAACCCTCGAGGGATTAAATTTCAACAGTTTTCTGTCCGAGTTGCGCATTCTTGGCCGGCACTTAGCCGTCCGTCCCCCTGCACTATCAGCTCTTTCTCTCTCTTGCCGACTTTTCGGCGCTTAGCCATCTGTCTGTCTGTCTGTCTGTCCGTGGAAGGATTGGAACAGGAAGGGGCTGGCATTCAGCTAATGAATGTAATCGTCATAAGCTGCCTTGTTCGAGGGTGCCCGCTCATTACGGGGGCCTGGATACCAAATATTTTCCCGTAATTGGGCCCCATTCCGAGTTCTTTTCGACAGGGCTCTGCGATGGTCTTTTAAAGAATTATGAAAGCATGGAAAATTCACTTACGAGTGAATTTGCAAAGGGATTTAGTTTTGGTCAGTGGATTGAAATGGTGAAATCTGCTAGAAAAGTGCAAAAGTGCAAAAGGGGAGCAGGGATGATGGGGATGAGGGTTTCGTCTGACATACAGACTTAATGTATGGGCTTCCCAGGATGTATTTAATTTAAAATCTGTTGCTTTAACTACTGTCACCCGGGACCTACCGAGATATCCGTACAAAAAGCTCGCTTCGGGATCCCGATCTCCCCCTGCAAGGCCAGCATAATTGTGCACCTGCAGCTATTTTGAATTGATAAGCAAACAAAGGCGGGAAACAGCTGCAGCCACAGCGTACGAAGGGCGACGACTGGCAAATAGAATAAAATAATCAGAAAACAAATGCCAAAAGTGGTAATGAGTATTCGCCGTGTCTGACAAAAGCGCCAAAGGGACGCAGACAGACAGGCAAGGAACGGAATGGTCCTTTTCCGTTTTCTGTTTTCCCGTTTGTCTAGAAAAGTGAAAAGCATGTAAATGCCCCGGGCCAGTATTACGAGGGTGTACTCGGTCTCGGTCTCTGTCTCGGTCTGGCTCTGGCTCTGGCACTGGCACTGTTCCTGGATCTGTTCTGTCCTGGAGCGGAGTCGTCAGGCAAGCACTTGAGCCAGCTCCTCGACATCCAGCCGGACAATTATGGTGCGATGGAGTTGCACGCTCAATGCCAAAGTGTCCTGCGGGCAACAACATGCAGGAAAAGGGCGCGGGAGTACGAGCCAGAGTAGGAGCAGGAGCAGGAGCAGGAGCAGGAGCAGTGTATGCTTCATTACAAACAAAGATGCAGATGGATGGGCCGGGGTTCACGAAGCCATTTTAATGCTAATGAATTGAAATTGTTGAAGACGAGGCCGTGGGGACGGCGTACGAGTATGAGCAATTTAATTGCTGAACAAATTTCCCGTTGATGAAAATTGAATTGTTCAAATGGCTGCCGTCCTGTCCCGTCCTGCCCTGCCCTGTCGTGTTGTGTCGTGTCGTGTCATGTCAGTGTCAAGTGCAAATGCCTCCTATGCCATGCCGCAACATAAACATTGTCTCTTTTATGTTTTGGCAAAAACATTCAACAAATGAGGTTTTGCAACTGTCGGATAGTGGAAATGGCAGTCGAAGTGGATGTGGAAATGGGTTGCGTGATATTCTATGCTCCCGTAATTGAGCCGTGCTGCCAGTACGACCATATTTTCAACTGATTCTTTTGTGGCCTGGGTGTGGGTTTTTTATGCTACTGGAACTCTAACTCGAACTCGAGCTCGTACGTACTATATACTGTAACTATGGAGCAGTGAAGTGAGCTGTCACCGCAGGCGTGACTGAAAGTGTTCCTCCGTGCAGCGAGCACTTCATAAAAGAAACCGTAAACCGTAAACTTTTATTGCTGCATTCGTGCTTTTAATGCTCTTTTTAATATTTGAGCTGATGTCATTGTCCTACGATTCCCATATTTTACAGACGGAGCTCTCTCACAATCTGCAACAATTGTCGGAGAAGGCACGTTCCACAACCGAATTCATCCAGCGCCTTAAAGGCATGAGCGACAAAGTGACGGTAAGTGAGCCGCACTCCGAAGAGGACCATGTTCTCAGCCTCGGTTTTTTTAATCAGGAATCCTGCATGGAATTCGAGCGTCTGGTGCACGCCCAGTGCGAGGCCCTCATCCAGGCCATCCACGACCGACGCGAGTATTTGCTGGAGGCCATCCGCATGGACAAGGATACCAAAATCAGGATACTGAAGGTGGGTACTGCCCTGCCCTGCCCTGTCCTGTCCTCTGCTGTATCTACTGCAACCTCCCCTCCCTCCATTCCACCCACAGGATCAGCAATCGAACTGCACTGGCAAGCTGCAGCAGACCACAGGGCTCATCCAGTTCTGCATTGAGGCGTTGAAAGAGACTGACAGCGCCGCATTTCTCCAGGTCTGTATTCCTTTAACATATTTACATATGTATGTATGTATGTACTCGCATATGGCAACATTATTATTATCTGATGGTTGCGCCTTTCAGGTTGGTTCTATGCTCATCAATCGGGTGGCGAACACGGACATGACCTGGCACCAGGAGGTCACCAATGCAGCGCCGCGGGTTTCTCCCATCGTGGACTTGACGCTAGACGACGCCGCCCTGGCACGGGCCATCGACAACTTGAACTTCATCCAAATGAAAGGTTCGTCCAAACGAAACTGAGTCAAAAATATGTGACCTGTTGCCGACTAATGAATTTGCTAGCTAACCCCTCGGAAAGAAACATTCAGAATTTAATTAATTAAGCAATCTAGAGTTGGAAGTAGAAGTGTAGAAGTGAAGATCATCATCAACCGCTTTGTATCCCTTCTAGAGATATTTAATATCTGATATGCAATAGATATTAATAGTCCCATTCTAACGAATGGTAAATTATTGGGCTCACGCCCACCCCATAAATACTGTCACTAATTAAGCACATGCACAAGCACATACTCATACTCGATATCCCATTGACACCAATGGTGTAAAGGTGTAATGGTGCTATTCCGCAACACCCTGTAAACATAAACAAACCCCGCACTCGGCTCACTCATGCACTCCACCCTTGAAACAATGCCGGGAATAGCTCTTCAATCGAGGGCCGTTGAAGAGGTGGGACTGAAGGGGCTTCGAAAATAGTTTGGGAAACTCCCAGGAGGAAAGGATTAAATATAGAACTGCGTTCGGAGCAGTCTTGTATGGCAAGTGTGAAACGAGAGACGATACGGTACGATACGATACGATGCGAGACTCGTGTGTGGGGGGTTGACAAATTTCCAGCGATGAAACCCCAAAAATGAATCCGGGAGAATTAAAGTGAAAGTGTTGAAATCGGATAGTGCACATTAGTCCACCCTCTCCCGCCCACACATAGGCGCAGATAACGAATAAAATAGAATATAAACTACACACCTACATATCATGTGTCTAACCTATGTGCTTCTCTCGCATCTCCCTCCCATTTTGAATGTGCTGCTTGCTTTCATTTAAATGAAAATCGCCATCATCCTATAAACCAAATCATCTAAAGCCCTCAAAGACGGAGATGAAAGGTGTCCGGCAGGTGAGCAACAACCACAACCACAGATGTTAAAAATCAAATGAAAATATCTAAAAACAAATGCAATATTCACACTTAAGAACGAATCTTATGAGATTTAATTGCATAATTTTAATCCGCTTGATTCTTCTTTGGGCAAAACTCATTCTTTGGTGCTTTCATTTTTTCACTCACAAACTCACACATACTCACCCACACACACAGACACACACACACACCTCTTTATGTATTCCTGGTTCATTTTCGGCCATTTTGTTTTCATGGATTTGTTTTTCTTTGACTGCGGCTTTTGCCTTTGTTTTCTGTTTTCTGTTTTCTGTGTTCTGCTTTCCGTTCCGCTGACGGGCACACGCCCACGCATAATAATTTTTTATTTTCACTCGGCCCGCAAATGAGAAAATAAAGTAAAATACCCGAAAAATGCGTCCAAATATTTTCACTTCCGGTTCCCGGCAAATGGAGAATGGTGAAACGCGGAGATGAGGTGATGCCACCGCAACTTGTCAGCCGGGTAGGGGACGTGGTCAGCACATTTTTGTGTCCGTCGCTTTTCACTTGATTCCTCACTTACTTCCATCCCACCCTTTCTATTTTCTCTTCATTATTTAATACTTTAGCTTTTATTTTTTATTGTAAGCTGGATATTATTTTTATGTTTTATTTTTATTTTCGTTGTTTTTGTTTTTCTTCTGAATTGACCCTCTTCAGAGGGCCCTGCCTAGGCTTATCCCAACACTTTTACCCTGATTGCATTCACATTTACCCCATCCTTGATACCTTGATTCCAACTTTATACTTTGTACCCTTCTTCCCTGCCCCTGCCCAGCCCTTATTTCGGGGACACTTGACAGCTTTTGGCGCCTTTTTAATTTGATGCCAGCGCCAAAGAGCGGAAACACGAAACAGAGACCGAACAGAAGCGGAAAGTGTCGTCATTTTTATGTTCATTTTGTGGCATCATTTTAGGCGCTCCACTTGGCATCTCTTTGCCATTGCCATTTGCGTTGTATCGTGAATTTTTATCACGTCGTAGGCTTTATGACTTTTTGCAACTTTACGACGAGCAGGCGGGCACGGCAACTCCGCCGTGCAATTAATAAAAGATTAATGTACAATGGCAGAACGGTGACAGATTCGTTTTTGCACTTACATAAAGGGATGACTTCTGGGCCGTAGTCTGCTATTTCGTATAGTATTTATGTATTATATGTTATTGGTTGTGGGTTGTTTCATGACTTTTACACTGCTTAAATTATTTTTTTGTTAGCACTAGAACATTTATTTACCTTTAATTAGCACGATTTCTTAAACGTTTCTACACAATTATTCATTAAGAAAAATGCGTTTCCCACACAGCACCCATGACGCCAACCATTTTGCCGACGGATTGTTCAGCGGAAAATAATTCCGTCACAGTTGCGTGGCAGCCACCGAATCATTCCACCGTCGAGGGCTATGTCCTGGAACTGGACGATGGAAGCGGCGGAGAGTTTCGAGTACGTAAAATCTGAATAGAATACCAGCTGCCAATAACTGGGGGGTTACATAACGAGTGAATAATGAGAATAGACTAAAACGGTTAAAGGGTTAGATGAAAATTAAAAAGCTATCTTACAAATTGATCCTACTTATTTTGTTGATATCAAAGTAAACAAGCGAATGAGAGTGGCATTGAATAACACAAAAATCCACTAAAGGAACGATCACGAGAATTAGTATATGTCCTACAGATTAATAATGATTCCTACCACAATGAATAAATATTAATAGATTACTCTATCAATGTCAACAGTTATGATCTGAATAGATGAAGAATATGATATGATATTATTGATTAGCCCTTAGAAACTATGATCAGGTACGAGACTATCAATGAAAACCCTTCTAAGGGACTGAATGAATGAATGAAGTGAGTGGGGACGAGCGAATGAGTGTTATTGAATGGGCGATTCAGTCAACAAACGTATTGGCTGAATGAATAGCTGTCATCCTCCAATTTATTAACGATGAAAACTTTAATTTGGCTCTCTCCTTCTCTTTACCGAACAGGAAGTCTACTGCGGCAAGGAAACAATTTGCACCGTCGACGGTCTTCACTTCAATTCAATGTACAATGCCCGGGTGAAGGCCTTCAATAGCGCCGGAGAGGGTGAATACTCGGGGCTGATTGGACTGCAGACTGCCGAAGGTGAGACCCCGGTGCCGTACTAGCTTTTTCAATTAACCTCCTCCTGGCTAGTGCTGGGGCTGGTGCATTATTTGCTTGGGAGCTACTTTTCCAACTGCTTTATAATTTAATCCTTTTCGGTCATGCGCCGTCCCCTGCGCCACACCATCCGCCTCCATCCGTTCGTGCTTTGCATGTCAAACAGCCATTGACCCCTTTACGCCTGCCGGGCGGGAAAACGTGAACCAGAATGGGGCTCGCACTAGGACTGGGACTGGGACGGGGAGTGGGACTGGAACTGGGGGGCAATGCCTGAGAATGTCTTTTGCAATCCAATTCTCGCTTGATTGATGCATGCGCCACCTGACAGCAGCTCCTCCGAATCCACATTTCTCCCCTGACCGCATGGCAAATGAAACACCGCGTAAAGTTATTTAATTTATAAAATTGCCAGAGCGGTCTATAAAGCACTTTACTGCTCTGGCTTGTGCTTCTGCCTGTGCCTGTACCTGTTCCTGCTCCTGCTCCCGTTCCTTTATTAGTTGGTCGTCATTAATTTGCAACTTTTAATTGATTATTTCCAAGAGCCCGCGAGTTGTCTTCCAGGGGGTTACAGACGATTTAAGCGGACCCGGCCCGCAGATCGCCGTCCAAATTGTTGTTTTATAAAGTGTTTACACAGAGCGCGTGGCCCCAAGTAATTAACGGAGAACCAGTTAACAGTTTATGGCTCGTGACGTTTGCGGGCGGTCCGCTCTAATGGGTTTGCTCTGGGTTCGCAGCCAAGCTAACACCTTGTATAGACAATTACTTAAGGCAGTGTAGGAGGAAATACAGAAATAAGTTTTAAGACTCTTGGCACTTTTATCCTTCCCAAAGTGAAAGGATCCTTGCAGGAGAATTTACAACTGCAACATTGTAAAGAAATAATGTCTTACAATTTCGAATGTTTCTTATGATTTTGCCTCAAAAAAGATATGAACTGATCACATATGGCTGTCGAGTTTCCTGGGAGTCGTAAGATTATAATTCTAATCCGACTTTGAAGTTCAGTAATGAAATTCATTGAGAAACTAATTGAAATGTACATGTACCGGCTAATTAAATAGCTGCATCGTGGTCATAGTTTATAGTGCTTGACTCAAATCTCTCACGGCCTTAGTGGCAGTCATATTCCCGACATGAACAAAGCAATGGGGAGCCAGACCAGACCCCCAGTCCCAAGAGACCTCTTGTCCCAGATGCTTGCTTTGTGGCTTGTTTGGCCACACAATTGCCTTCGGTGGCTAATAAAACAGGAAAATAGCAGCGGCAAAGGCAGCTCGGAGAAGAAGCAACGTTGCAGCGTCATCATCATCATCATCACCACCGGAGTCAGCGTCGAAGCCGGAGCTGGTGCCAACAGGTCCCAGTGGGTCTCAGCTGATCTGGGACCAAGCTCGGCCACTTAATGCGGCCACAACAATAAAAAGGAAATTTAATAAAGTACTCGACTCGACTCGAGTCGAGTCGACTTCAGGCGGCTGCTGCTGCTCGTTGCATACTTTGCGGGGCATAACAGCATAAACTATGCGGCACGAGGACTGCTCGGGCCTCTGACTTGGACCTGGACTCGACTTGGTTGGGACTGGGACTGGACTCTTCTGGCATGGCCTGGCCACTTGAGCTTTGACAATAGAGAAAATTGCAACCAGTCTGACTTTGTTTTCATTTCCACTTTTCACTTGGTCCTCCACTCATCTCTGCTCTCTTTTTCTCTTCTCCCCGCTCATCGTTTCAGTGGCCTGGTTCACGTTTGATCCAGTTCTGAGCGGCGGCGCCGGCTCTGGCTTAATCTTTAGCAAAAATAACGCCACCGTCAGCGTCGAGGGCTGGGAGCACCGGGTGGCCCTTGGCTCGGTGGGCTTCTCCCGCGGCGTCCACTACTGGGAGTTCACCATCGACAACTACACGGCGGACACGGATCCGGCATTTGGAGTAGCACGTATCGATGTGGCGCGGAACAAAATGTTGGGTGAGTACGCCACAAATGGGGAAAAAGAAAGCATTTTACTGGGTTACTGGTTCCATTTGAAATTCAATTAAAAATTCAGAGCAGGCGGCGGCGAGAAAGAAAACCTTCCGCACAGAAACTTTCACGGGAGAACTAAAAGTGGCAAATCTGCACAACAAATAGATTCTGGAATTGACAAAAGACCCAATACATATGCGGAAAATTTCCAGCTATAGATAGATGGGACGTATCCGTGTGTAGAGGGTGAATGGGAATGCTGGAAGCGCCTAAAACTTTGCCATTTGGCCGCCTCGCAATACCAAGCCAATAAAATCGGGAGCCGGCGGTGGGCGGGAACAAACTTTTGCCACTTCTTGTTGCGTGCGCGAGGAGCGGAACTTTTAAGCGAGTTTCAGTTACCAACGCGGAGAGGACTGCGACGACCACTGGAGACAAACACAAACAAAGGAACGAAAAAGAGCCGCCTCAACGAACGCTTCGGCAAATTGATTGAAAATGTGCGTGGTTGCGGAGAGCAGGGCTGTGGGGTGATGTGAGACAAACTGGGACTTCGTCTAAGTGCAGACAAAAGTAATTAAAAGTGCGGCACTTTAACTTTTGTCAAATGCAAAAGTTTATTTGCGGGAATCGGCAGGCATCATTCTTTTCTCTTCTTCTCCAGCTAGAAGTAGGGGTAGACGGCCAGGGCCGTGTATCTCTTTCACTTACAGAATTTACTCTTCCAGCAACTCACGCGCCATTTAACACGTGCCCCGAAGGAGCGGCAGCAGCAGCAGCGGCAGCAGCAGCGGCAGCAGCAGCACCAGCTCCCTATGCTCGATGCACAAGTTTTCGAATTAAATTTTCATATGCAAAATGCTCCAGCGTGAAGTGGCCGCGGGTGAAACAATGGAGCAGAGCAGGTGGCGCTGTCTCCTCCTAGCAACTGACACTGACACTAACAGTTGCAGTTTTCCAAGTTGTTATACGACTCTCGTGCGTCTCCCCGCAGCCCTCTCTTCCAGCTCCTGTTGCATTTGTCACTTATAATTTGAGAGAACTGAAGAGAAAGACGCTTAGGGTATAGGACTGGGTCTGGGAAGTACGCTCGACAGCTAAGTTTTAAAGTTCAAAAAGCGACACACATGAAAGGGAAAAGTTACTTACATCAGACTAATCTTTTCATAGTTTTTCATAAAGGACTTATACTAAAGCTATAATTATAATCAAAAAGATTCATTAGTTATTCAAGTAATTCGTGAAGCAGCTTCAAGCACTAGTTATAGATCAGTTTGACTGGCAGATACGAGATACAGTACATGCTATTTACATGGTTTAAATCTTAACCCTTGGGATGTACTAGTTTTTAAGACCAATTATAATTATTCGACGGATTCTTGGGATTTCATTTAAGGAAGTTATAAAGAATATGAAAGCTTTAAGTCTGGACTAGCTTTGGTTTCAGAAAAGAGGGAGAGAGAGACAGATTTAGCGAAAGAAAAAAAGGAACCTAAAAAGTGGAAGTAGATAAAAATATTCTAAAATTATAATCAAATAGGTCATTCGGTGGAAAGCGAATATCAATTAAAATTAGAAAAAAACGGTCGTGGTTCCCCTCTTTCCCTATGGTGTTTGCCATTTCATTGCGGTCTGCCTTGCCTGCCCTACCAAAATTAAAATCCTAATTCATTTTGAAATTCTACAAATCATTGATTCCGAAGTAAAAAAGAAATATAAAATTTGGTTGCTTCAACGTAATTTTGTAATCCGGAAATTAAAGATTGAGGCGAAAAATAGATTTTTTTGAGACAGTACCGAATATTATAAGGATATACTCTCATCCCATACTCAATCAATTTTCCATGGTTCGTTGTTTGAAACTTCACATCTAGCATATCCAACAAATAGTTGCTATGTAATTGCTATTTAAAATTATTACAAAACAAGTCTGTCTGAACAACAAACTAATCCCACTTTTCCCTGCTTCCTGACATCCACCAGGTAAGGACGAGAAGTCCTTTGCCATGTACATCGATCGCCAGCGCTCCTGGTTCCAGCACAACTCCATCCATGAGCGACGCGTCGAGGGAGGCATCACTACGGGAAGCACCATCGGGGTTCTTCTCGATCTGGAGCGGCACACACTCAGCTTTCTGGTGAACGAAATGCCGCAGGGATCGGTGGCGTTCCGGGATCTGTACGGGGTGTTCTACCCGGCTGTAAGCATTAACCGTGGAGTCACCCTGACTATGCACACGGCCATGGATGCACCCAAGATGGATTACTTTTAGGTCGTATGCCATATAGAGGAGTAGCGAATTGTGTACATATAGCTTGGCGTTCAGCAGTTATCGGTGTCTACATAGCGTATAAACAGACCTTACAAATATGAACATTTTACTCATGCAGCTTACAATACATACATATAGTCGTATGTGTAGTTTCGGGCAAGGTTCAGCGACATATCTCCCTTTATTCGTATCTCTACTCGTAGTTTTATGCAATGTTTGTAAAACGCTGCGCCACACGGGGAGTGAATTATTCAAAATAATTGAAAACAACCAGCGGTAATTTTATGTAAAATATAATAATAATCTTCGATGTTTTTCAGTGAAAACAAAGCCAAAAATCATGCACCGTGCAACACCAAAAACCAAATTAAATTTAAACGCATGCGAATGAAAAAATTAAGGCTAAAATCCAATTAGCAATTAGGGTAGCTACAAATTTGCATCTGTATGGGTCGTCTTGTATTTTTACTAGTGCGTATGTGTGGAGAGGTAATTATTACGTGAAATATACATACAGACAGACACATTTGATCGAGGCTAAAAATGGAATCAAAATCAACTGTAAGGATGAGTTTTTATTTTAAAGACTGAATGCAAATTGTTTTTATAAGTGCGATAGGAAGCGTAACAAAGAAGGGCCTCATCAAATGTGCGGAATGCAATTACTCAAATCACAAAAATTGAGTGAAAAGGTTAAACATAAACGCACTCTGCAAAAATTGCACGAAATTAAAAGCCACCAAAAATGAATACCAATTTGAAGCCAACCACTTTGCTTATGAAAATTCAATATGCGTCTGAATATTAATATGTATTTAATAAACCATTAAGTTCCCTGTAAATATTTATAAATATTTTTAACGAAATTCGGCTACTCTAGTTTTGTCCTACGTACTCGTACTTATTGTAAGGTGTAATGCATAAAATTAAATCTCCGTGTACGTAAAAACTATGGATACTCTTCAATGTACGGCGGAAACCAACAACAATTAAAGTTAATTACCAGTACTATGCATGTTTAAATATTTAAAATTATAATAAAAAAAAAATACAAACAATCCGACGAGGAAAAAATTTAATTGCATAAGCAACAACAGCACACACGTAAATGAGTTTATTTAAAAAAAAAAAGAATCGAAATAAAATACACATGAAAAAACGCGTAATAAAATTTAATCGTATTTTTGCCCTCAAATTATTTTGGTAATACGAGCATTGAAAATCCTTTACTGCGAGAGTTAGTTTCCATATTAGAGGAGGCAAACTCGTGGAGCGTGTCGTTTTTTAATTAATATGTTGCAAAGCGGTGGCCCAATAAACGGTTTCTTGCACACCATTTTCACTTTTCCCAGCGCTTTCCATTTGCGGAAATCCTCACGCTGGGGGGAGTTCATTGTGCCAATTTCTGTGCGGATTTCTCCCTATGTTCTGAAATGGATTTTTGTTACGCCGTGTTGTTAGGAGCAGCCTTTCAGGAGGGAAATATGTCGCCAACAATACCCTTATGAATTCTGTTTTTGAGTTTCGGCATTCGTTCGCACACCTCCCGTGAACTCGTACAAAGCCTGGGCGTACTAGATCCCACCCGACAAACACTCTTATAAATTACACACTTAGCTCTAGCGCCACGTTTGTCTAGAAAGCAGCATATCCCAACAAACCAGTGCACAAGCGCTTGCGTAAGTCTCGCAAAATGCTCGCAAGCGAGAGTTTTACAATAAAAATGCGAGAGAGAGAGAGACGTGATGTCAAAACGAAGACAGCAATAACAGAGATAAGGAAAGGATGAGAAAACATAACGAAACTTTTACTGCCACAAACTGAACGACACCTGTATGCAATTTCCATCTTGTCCGGATCCAAATGCGAGCGTATTGTCGGGAAATGTCTCGCCTTTGAGTCGTGTGCAATATCATTTGCGAGCCTTTGGTTGGCTGGGTATACATATGTGCATATGTACATATGTAGAATTTACATTCAAACATACTATGTGTTGTATGTGCACATCCATACTCGTATGGTGAGGCTTTCATTGTTTTGTGTTTGTGTTTGACAAAAGCAGGTCCACGAGTGGCTCTAGTTCTTAGCGAACATTTTAATGAGCACAGCAGAGAAAAACCGCTAAAGAAACTTTTGTTATTTCGGCTACACATTGTTTACTGTTTCAGCATTTTAGTTGCAGTTCTGGCTCTGTGCAAGGAAAACGCATCAAAGTGCAATTTTTATATCCGGGTTTCGGGGGATAGAGTGAGCACTTGCTGTTGGGAAACTGACACGGGAAAGCGCTTAGCTACCGCACCCGCCCGGAAACGCCGCGCTCCCGTCCTGGGAGTCTGCCATTTCCGCATCCGCCACGACAGCAGACATCAGGACCTCCAGCAGCGGCACCATCCTCGTCGCCTGCTTCATAAATCATAAAAAACTTTCGCCGCACGTCGCCAGCAACGATCCCCGAACAAGGAACGAACCCGAAAACCAACCAACAGCTGCTAAGTGTTGAGTAAATGTTTTCGCGCCTCGTTGCGCTTCCAAATTCCCAAAGCGTTTCTGGTGGTTTGTTACTAATGCGGCTATGTGGCGGATGTGGCACGTGATTGTTGTAGTTTTTCCAAAGCGAATCTGTATGACTGTTTCGACTGCGGCATACCTCTAGCTAAGATTTTATAACATGTATTCGGCAACACCTACACAAAGACTTCGATTCAAATTAAATAATGGATTTTCGTAAAAAGCGCCGTTTGCTTTCGGAGTCGAGCTAAAACTAACAGGATCTGAATAAGTGTCCATTAATACTTTGTTTCAAATTTTGTTGCTATAAATAGATGGCATGGGTTTTTGATTTCATTCAAATATTGTATGTGCATATATAAATATACATATAGATTGCTTGATAAATTTTCGCTCTATTATTTATTCTGTATGGAAATTCAGATGTTAATACACCCTGACAAACGTATTTTGCTTCCCTAGTTAGTCACGCTATGGGCAGTACTTTACCTCTTTTACCTCCGTTGAGATAATTCTTCATACTCGACCCTCTCTCAGAACAGTTCGTGCTTTTATCTAAAACATTTTAAAAATATGCTCCATTTCGTACTGGTGGTGTTGGGTCTACTGCTATTGATTCTTTACAAGTTCGCCACGTGGAACTTTGGCCACTGGCGACGGCGGAATGTGAGGGAAATACGTGGTCTGCCACTTCTCGGAACGTTTCCGAATATGGTCCTCCTCCGCCGAGACTTCACATTGGACATCAACGATTTGTATATGTAACAAAACGAGAGAACAAAGTATAGAGCTATGATAAGCTCTCTATCTCAACCCTCAGGAAGTACCGAAAGGACCACAGCTATGTGGGGGTCTTTTGGCTGCGCAGCCCCAAGCTTTTGGTGCTGGAGCCGAGACTGGTACACGAGGTCCTTACCGCGGGCTTCAGGCACTTTGGGGACAACAACATATCGAAGCTCGTCAACTGGAAGAACGAGAAGCTGACCATGTGCAATCCCTTCTCTCTCAAAGGCCAAGCTTGGCGGAAACAGAGAGACATCTTCAACACCCTGATGACCACTGCTCGCATTAGAAGTGCCCACAACAGTATGCGGCGCATTTCTGAGGAGCTGTGCGATTTCATTCAGCGAAATTGTCGCTCTGGACAGCCTCAGGATGTTGGAGATGTGAGTAGGAATCAGGGAACGCCACGCGTCCAAGTCAACGACAGGTATTCTCCTTCCGTGCAGCTGGCGGTGCTATTCAACAGTGAGGTTTTGCTGGAGAGCGTCTTGGGCATCCGGGCCGGCAGTTTCAGCGACTCTCCAGTAGTCGTGAAGGAAATAAACAAGGAGAAGTCGGATAGTCTTTGCTTGACCCTCTGCTGGGCCCTGGAATGTCTGTTCCCATTCCTGCCCAACTGTCTGCGCCCAAGCATTTTCCCGCAGTCATACAAGCAGTTCTTTACGGAACTTACCCGGGAGGCCTTTCGTCTGGCGCGAGGTAGGCAGAATGGAAAGGACTTTGTCAGTCACCTGCTCGCACTTGAGCGTGATCTCGAGTTATCCGAGCAAGAACTAACCTCCCATGCCATGACCTTCATGTTCGATGGACTAGATACTTCTTCGCTAACCATAGCAAAATGCCTATTCCTGGTGAGCAACAAAGTTGTTGGGAGCTTTCGGCTCAGTCTATATTGATATCGTGCACAGCTAGGACAGAACCCGACCTGTCAGCAAAGGCTTTGGCTGGAACTGAGGCACGCGTTCCCAGGGAAATTACCAGATCTAGAAACCCTGAACGAACTGGACTATTTGACTGCCTGCGTGTATGGTAAGTACGAAGACCAGCTAGTATTGAATGAATAACCTACGGTCCGACTTTACAGAGTCGATGCGCGTGAACCCAAGCTGTGGCTGGATTCTCAGGAGCTGCACGGAGGAATACACCTTCCATGGCAGTCTCCACAGCACTGCCCTCAAAGTGTATCCCGGCGACCACGTCCTGCTTCCCCTTCACGGGCTCTACAGCGATCCCCAGTTCTTTTCCAATCCCGAACAATTTCGCCCCGAACGCTTTTTAGATGGCGGATATCAAAGGTTCAAGAAGATGGGAGTTTTCGCTCCTTTTGGCCTTGGGCCGCGTCAGTGTGTTGGCATCCGTTTAGCTTGGCTGCAAGTCAGGGCTGCCGTGGCCTCTATAGTATACCGCTTTGTAGTTCGCACCAAGAATACGGAAGTGAATCCGCAGTCGGATGCTCCTTGGCTGTGTGACTTTATCTCCCGTACTCCCAACTGGGATGATCAAGCCGACCCACTTTGAATGAAAATCTTGAATTTTTGAAATATTCGGAAATTGATCATTTATTTCTAAACTTGCAATTTTCGTTTGTTCTGTACTTCCAACATTATGAGAAAAAATACGAATTCTGATTTTATATATATGTATGTACTCAAAGGGTACTTTTTAAATGATTGCCACAGCCTCTTCCGACCCCTAAAAAGTCCAAAATATGTGAACTCTACAATTTAGAAGATTTGGTAATACTGATATTTAGTTCGGCTAGAATGAATCTCTCTCTCTCTCTCTCTATGTCTTTCTCCAAGGGAGGCATACCAGTAGGTGCCATCCACGTATTGAATGGACATAAATATATATGGAAAATGAGAACACATCGGGTATAGTTATGTGAAGGCAAACGACTGGTTTTATTTAAATATCTCGAATAAAGTATACCAGGAACTCTTAATAAAATCCAACTTTACTCCTTAGAAGGTGACTCCACAGCTGTATCCTGCTGTTCATCCTGGCCCTTTCCACCTTCCTGGTCTTTTCCACTTTTTTCTTCAACTTCCTTCTCATCATCAAAGATTTCTTCTATGTCCCCATCTGAGCCAGGTACTGGTACCGTCACCGTCTGAGCAATCTCTTCCTCCACCGGAAAATTAGTGGTAGGCTCAGCATACTTACTGTCTCCAACGGACTCCCAGTATCTCATTACTTCGAGCATCTTAGGCTGAATCGAGTGCCGAGCACTAATGCCCCAGATCATGTCCATGTGGTTCCACCTCTTGTACAGATGGCTCTCAACCACATTTGGCAGAATCTTTGCCAGGCGCTGAACGTCCTCGACAGCGGAAAGATGGTCATTGCTGCCATAATAGAGCGCGATCGGTGCAGTAATCCTCTCCAGGCGGTAATCAGGGGGCGTATTACGCCCATACATCTTCTGATTCTCCTTAGCCTCGTAGTCGTACTGGCAGAACCGATCAGATCTCTGCAGCTGAAAATAGTGAACGGGTTGCTTAACATTGCAGCCACCTGGGATATGGCCAAGCACCACAGGGAACATCGTCTAACGGAACGTAAACAAATAAGCGTTAGCCATGCGTTAAGTTTCGACATATGTATATTACCCACCATGTTGAATTCGTCGCTGTTCTTTCCGACCACCTGCCAGTAGAAACGAATGCAGGTCTTGAGCATGCCGGCCGATTGCAAGCACTGGTTAAGGTAAATGTCCGAGTGTGGGAACAGCTCCAAGGACTCGCCCAGCATTTTGATGCCAACTCTGGCCATGCCCAATAAAGGAGTCTTCATGTGCCCCATAAAAGCCACAGGAGCCAAAGCATTCATCAGGTGGATCTTGGCGTTGTACTCAGGGCGACTAGAAGCCAACACAAAGAACGAGGTTGTTCCCTGGGAGTGTCCGAAGTAGTTGAGTTTATGAAAGCCTGTTTTTGCAAGGACACCATCTATCATGGCCGGCAGGTCGTACATCCCAATCTCGTGCCACGAAAAGGCCCAGTAGGCCCGGTCCGTGTTGGGGTTTAGCTTCAGGTGGCCCCGCGAGTAGCGATTGCCTCGCACATTGCCCATCCATATGTCATAGCCCTGGTCGTACAGAAAGTATCCCAGACCACTGTGTGGACCCATCATAATCCAAGTGGAAGAGGTGTCCTCCAGGCCGTGTACCAGCAGGACGGGCTGGGCACCTGGTCGTGGAATTCGGTGAAAGGTCAAGATATAATTGTCCTCGGTGGTCACCTGATGGGTCTCTGCCGGATACTTGTACTTCTCCAAGAGTTGCAGCTGCAGCACAGAGATTTTCGCTAGGGTATCAACTCTCTTTCAACTGAGGCGTATCACTCACCGTGCTCAGATGGGCATCCTCTATCACGCTGGCTGGAAAGTTGTCCTCCAGACAGCCCCCGGCCACTCGCATGCACTGAAGCGCGAGCCAGAGCAGACCGATGATCCAACTAGCGTGTTGCATGCCGTACGTTCGTGACCGGAGCATTTTCGATCCGTGACTAAACCTGATCTGAAACGACCCAGCTCCTCTCCCTCTAAAGAGTGATAATTAGTAGCGGCCAAAGCCCGGGCGGGCTTTTGTCTGTTTGTTAATTGTTTTTTGTTCGAATGTTTTTGTGAAGCTTATCGGAGAATCGTCGCCAGCTCATTTCCAGTTGTACTACGAGTATGACTCTGTACAATATATGAGTTTAAAATATAATTCGCACAAATTAGATCAAACGAAAGTGCTGTCAAGCACCACAAGGGCAAAGTTCATGTAAATATATCAATTGGAACGGCTAAACGGGATGCCGATCCAGCATATTCGACATATTGATATACAATGACAAACCTACATTGACAAATCCACAAACCAAAAATACAATATGGGCACTAACGCCAAAATGTACATGCTAAAAAACATTTAAAAGTCAATGAAAAGCTTTACCGATTGTCATCAGTAACAGCAATTTCGAAAATTTGTGTGTGGCCTATTTTGGGCGGAATTAATAATGCAAGATAAATGCGAAATAGAAGAGCAGAAATAACAGATGAACGAATCCAACAAGATAATGAATATGTGAATCTGAGCATGTCGCAATTGCGGTAATCTCATTCGAGTACGAGCCAAATATTGAATATTCCTCTCATCCGAAAGTGGTGATTAGTCAAAGATGGACAAAGAATGTCACCATTGTCATGTTCTCCAATTCAAGCATGAGTCAGATGGTATCTGCAACTATCTGAAATTGAGACACCAGCGAAACCATTCAACTCATCAACACGGATCCAGACTCAAACCCGTTATTGAAGACCATTCGCACATTTAATTCATGCGCTTCCCAGATCATCTCCATAATATGACTAGATTAATGTTTTATTGGAAAAGGCTTCCTAGTTTTTATATTGTTATACCTAATGTATCTATCACCAGTCCCAGGGATAAACCTCAGCTTGATGCAAATCCACTTTTGGCCAAATCCCAGTGTTTCCTGTTAACAGAATTTACTTGGACACTGCCAAAGAGTAAATCGAAGAAATGTTTGTCGGGTTAATTGAAAAATTTAATTTTTAATTCCGTTGCGCAGTGAATCTCGCAGTGGTCCAGCGTCCGTTCAACAAACATTTGAGTCGCCCCATCAGTGCCCATGTCATCGCCTCCTTTTTTTTCAATTGATTGGCAAAAATTGATTCCGGCTTTTGCATAAAATATTTGCTGTTCCTTTATTTGCTGCAACTGCTGTCATCGGCGATGGATGACAGCCTGACAAAGCGGGGCGAAGTGGCGAAGTGTTCTCTTAGACTCCCAGGCCGAGTCCATTCAATCCGGACCCGGGTAGGCCTCCTGTTCGCCTCTGGTCTGGTCGCTTCTGGTCTGATATGCTGGCCATACATTGGCAAATAACTTAATTCGGCGTTGTCACCACATGTTGGTCCTGCCAGGAGCCTGCAGTCAGGCCGAGAAGCAGACAGACTGTGGCAAGGGGGACTTGACAACTTGACACGCCGTTGGAATGGGTGCTATGAGGGTGTGGTATGGCCATTCTTTTGGCAGCATGTCGAGTTTCAAGTCTTGGTTTCATGCAATAGTTTTTGAATGCCTTTAAAATTACATCGGGAGATGTTTCAATTCGTCAATTTGTCTCGAAACGAACGAAAAACTCTCTCTTCAAGAGATTTTTTGTAGAACCAATAAACCAAAGCTGCCACAGAAAGTGACTGGGAATCATTGCCCTTTTGACCCACATCCAACAGCCTCGCAGCTCCCAAATTTAGCTGTCAGCCGAATTAACAAATTTCCTGGTCTTACCTTAAAAGGTGGACCCATTTGGGACGCGGTGCCATTCAGGACCGGCGCGTGCCACGACAATTAGCCATTTGCTTGCTCCTCTTGCCGTCGCTCTCTCCCTTCGCTAGTGCATTACGAGTATTGCGATGCCAACTGCCAATCACACGACAATCAGCAGACCCAAAGTGGAGAGAGTGGAGGCGCAGAAGCAGAAACCCGCTTGAGCCACAATGAAAACGAGACCAATCAATTGGATAGCCTTTAGTTGGAGCCGAGTGGAAACAATGGGAGCACCGCTCTAAGTCTTTAAGGTCTGCAAAAGCTACCTAGCCTGGCTCGTTAGTAGCAGCATCTATGCTGCCCCAGATTATGATCAGCATTGTTCGACTGTTGGCGTCGGCGTCATCGGGTGCCCACATTAGGTGCAGAAGTTGCCGAAGTCCTCTTCAGACTTCAGGCCCCCTCTGGGGGCCAAGCACGTGACTTTTAATCACGCGCGCATAAAATTTTATGCGAAATTTTAGACGTGTCCAAAAAGAGTTTCCCATGCCATTGGCTGCTTTATGGCTCGGCCAAGTTCGCCTCATTATGGGCGCCAGAAACAGAAGTGCGTGAAGTCCAACTGAAAAAGTAGCCAGGGCGAATGAAGGTCAGAAGTTTGGGCTGCTTAAACTGTCGGGTGGAACTTTACGACTTTGGCAACTTTGGGCCGGAGCCAGGACTCTATTCTTCGGGCTAGTCAAAGGCACAACTTCAGAAAAGGTTAAAGTCAAGTGTAAGGACAGACAAGTTGGTAGCGGATCCCCATCTCGCACAGACTCCAATCGGGGTGGTGCCAGACTTGACTCGCAGCCAACTGGATGCCAATTACAATTCGTTTTTATCTGTCAGCCTCTCAACTGGTCCTGCTCCCTGCCATGCCCCATGCAACACGCCCCTTTTGTCTGCATTTTTTAATTACGTTTGTGCACGTGCCGCACTACATCTGTCGGGACCCGCCTTTAAAGTGTTATTTCCAGAACGACAAGTTCAGGGTCAGGGTCCGTCGCTCCAAGTCTCTCCCACATTCGGAAATTCGTGTAGATTTAAAAAGCGAATCAATCCCACTGCGAAACACATACTAGTACCATTTTTGCTACACACAAACACACACACACAAAAGATAATGAAACGCAAATATGGATATATTGCTGCTCGGGCATTGAATTCAAGTTCATTAATTTTAATATTTAATGCCATTTGAAGTTGATTTAACTAACAGAATCGGAGGAATGTGGCCATAAATATGCATGTGGCCTGCTCTTCTTCTCATGCTTCGCCGAATCTGGGGGACTGACGTGTCGACTGCTTGTTAATTTCGGTCGATAAAAAAATTATTTTGCTCTTCCATTAATTACGTCATTATTTGCGCATTGTCCCGGTCGCTGAGTTGCAACTGAGAAGGAATTCGACGAAGGCTGACAATCCGGATCCATGTCCGCGTCCGGGTCCGGGTCCGTAGCCTGGATTCACAAGGCGCATCCTTGTGGCCCGAACATCCTGATTGGCGGCCATCAATAAAATTAACGAGTGATAAAGGATTACAATTGATGGCGGCAATGGCGGAGGAATTGATTAATTTATGGAAAACGAGAAGACATTCAGCTGCGGGGCAAGTAAAGCGTAAAAACATGATTTTTACACTGCCCAACAGAAGTTGGCATGGAACCAAAATCAGATATAAATATTTCATTCCGTCTTTGCTGAGCGGATAAAATATTGCTAAAGTTTTACCACTTTCCTACGGCTTAGTGCTCCTTTTGCCAGTCTTCTGGGAGATGCATCGTTATTTAATTTAATATGATTCGTAATTTTCAGTCATCAATTAATTGAATTAAAATCATGTTTAATGAAAACCTGTTTTCCTGACTAATTGCACAGAGAAAACAAGAAGAAGCCGGTCCAAATGAATGTGGGGATTGATTTTTTCTTAATTTGTGCAAAATATTATGAATGGGTACGGGCGACACTAATTGAATTCCATACACTTATAGTTTCAATAATTACTATTTTCTTGATTCACCTGTCACTTGCCTAGCGCATTAATATGAAAAATCCCGTGGAATTCTCATGAGGAATAACAAAACACTTTGCCCATTTCATTATCAATAGCCCCAGCCCTGACAAGGACTTCATGCCGACTTTTCATTACGATAATGAAATATTTCAGGAGCAGTTTATGTGGATTACTACTTAGATGTGAGAGCCGCATGCAAAAAGCGGAGCTAAACCGAAATGCCGTAAACACGGCGGAGCCCCTCGTACGGACACTATCCGCGAGTGGCAGCGTAAAGGACATGCGTGCAAATATAACCGGAGGGGCAAAAACCGCAGCTATAACAGCGTCGAGCACGCCAAGGCTAGAGGCATAATTATGGCGTTATCACACACGAACCGCCAAGCACACACACTCACCCTCACCCTTGGAAAACTAACGATAATCAATTGAGAAATGTTTATAATGAAGTGGAGCAGCCAAAGGGTTCCGCCCCATACCCTTTCCCCTTACACTGAGGAGCATTTCAGGACTAGTAGGGATATAACTTATATTTTATAAGGCGAATCACATAATCATTTAGAGGGGTTTTTTTTAAGAGAAGTTCTTATTTCTTCAAATATTTAAAAAATGAGACCTAAAATGTAAGACACTAATTATAATTTCAAAAGCATTTTGGCATGCTGAGAGCCATTGCAATGGCGTGCTATTCGGATAGTCATTACCAGAAATGGGAAAATAAAATAAAATAAAACAAACTCATTAGAACAAGAATTTTTGTTTGTACTTTTTTTGTAAGATTTCCTCAGAGCTGAGTCCCGTCCCGAATATTTGTTATTAAATTAATGCCTCTGGTAAAGGTCTAATTTTTCTCAGTGTTATCCTCCAGACGTTGCAAGTGAGTAGCCTGGCGCTAAGCGCTTCATTTCTGCACCTCCCCTTTTTTTGAAAGGCGTGTCGGGCAAAAACGCCTAGCCAGCAATCTCCTGATAGCGTGTATCCGTGTCCCCACACCACCACCCAGGCAATGTGCTAAGTATACGTTGGCGAGAGATAAACACGGCCAACACACACGCACATTAGGGCCGAAAGCCGAGAGTCGAACGCCGAGAGCCGCAGGCCGCAGTCCACTCGCCGCTGACCACACACTATGTCCGCCCTGTCCATTCATGACAACGTCCATCATAATTCATTGGGTATTGAGAAGGGTGCTGCCCAGACGAGGCGGTGTACTGGTGCCGGGACTCCAAATGGCTGGGAGAACATAGCCCACACGCTGCATTGTAATGAAATTAGCATACACAAGACAAAGTTCCCAGCCGCGCATTCAGCAATTATTGAGTTTAGTATTAGGGATACGACCAGGCGATGGAGGCTCTTATATGGCAGAAGACGCGATGGAGTTCATTTGGTGCTTTGAAATGCAAATGCAGTGAACCATTCAGCTAGTCAGTCAGCTTGCCAGTCAGACTGCCTGTCGGAGAACGGGCAGGAAACGGGCCAGGTTCAGGCCAGGTTAGCTCTCGGTGACACCGCAAATGAAACAAATACCAGCCCTCGGGGCGAGACCCATACAACGGGTCGCGTACCTCACTTCTGGGTGAGCCAAGAGGGGGATAGCTCACCCAGACGAGGCACTTTTGGCCAGCAGCTGCCAAATGGCAACCTACTTTCATGGCAAATGCGGTTCGCGCTTTTAATTTATGCCAAGAGCAATCACAATTGCATCGGGCTAAGTGGCAAAGCCGCCTTATAACCGAGGTGAACTTCCCGCGTTGTTCCAAAGTTCAAAGTGCAACAAACCTAGTGGCTCGTTTATTGTTCGTTGGCACCAACAAATGAGCTAGGCGGAAGTTCAAGGCAGGGTCGGGCCGACAATAAGCCCGTAGGAGCTCTAGGCAAGCTCTACTCTGAAATGAAAAATGTATGCAGAATAATTTTGAGCTAGTGCAGCAGGGAATAAGCACAACGGACACATTTGTTATTCGGCCCAATCAAGGCGTTCTATGATTACTGTTTTTTAAGCATTAACCCTTAAGGGCCGATTCAATGATCGTTCCTTCTCTTTTGTAGTGACCAGACGTGTTTTTGTGTTTGTGCTCCACATTTTCCTTTTATTTTATTTAAACAGCCGGTGTTTTATCTTCAATTAACAAATTAACTAGGTTAGGTTAGGTTGACCCGGACGGCTCTGGGAACCCAATAGATACGCACTGACTTTGTCGTGCTTAGGTGATCTAATGCCTCCCTGCTTGCCAGGACATTTCTGGAACTGACCGCTGACGACTGCATGGATCTTATCACCGCCTGGCTGTCCACGAACAGGTTGACCACGCCGTCGGTGTAGATGTTGAAGTGTTGAGTCTGGTCCCGACCCCTTTTGCAATCGTCGGATCCCATGAATGAGGTTGTTCTTACATCCAAGCACGATTGGGGGATCATGTAGTCAGATATACTGGTCATGTCTCGGCCAATTGAACTGTGCCCGAATCCCTGTAAAGACATGTTGCCTGATGCTACTAAGCGTTGTGCCGCCTTTCCTTTCCTTTCGAGTGCTTTTGCTGGGGTTGACCTCAGCGCCCCCGTAATGCAGAGCAGTGCCTTCCGCTGGGTCCTTTCCATAAGCTTATTGTACGTCTTCTTTTCTGTCACTTGCCACCACTAAGACTCCGTACAGCAGAGTCGGTCGCACCACCGAGATGGAGATCCAGTGCATTTGAGCAGGTGACAGGCCCCATGTACTGCTAAGCATCTTCTTGAGTGCGTATACCGCAATGGTGACCTTCTTCACCCATCCCACCAGCTAATAGACATCCCGGAACCCCGGATATTGGCATCACAGGTACTAGGCCTGTGGTGCCAAAACCACTGGTGGGAGTCCCATCAAAGCGGCAAGTTTTTGTATCACGCTTTGCCTCTGACCTTACATCTAACAATGTAACTGATTTCATTCAAAGCAAAATAAAAGTCGATGGCTTAAAGGTGGAGAAGTGTAATTTCGCTTATGCCATGGAGATAACCTCCTTTAAGATAAGCGTCGGTCCAACTCAGTTCAAAACCATTTGCTCTGCCAAATATTGTCCGGTTGTGAAAGAGTACAAGGTTAGGAAGAAAAAAAGGCCCCCCATAAATCTTCCTAGTAGTCAGGCCACTGCTCCATCTCCACCCTCAACTTCCCCCTCTACTTCCACCCATCAAAGTTACCTACCAGAATGCTAGGCTTGCGTAATAAGCTCAGCGCTCATTTTGTGGAGAGTCTCTGATCCTCGTCTCAAGCTATTGTGTTTACCTAGACCTGGTTAAAGCCGGACATCCTTAGTTCCGAAGTTTTATCAGGTCGGTACACAATCTTTAGAAATGACCGTTCGGCTCGACGTCGCGGAGGGGTCTTCATTGCAGTGGACTCAAACTTCAACTCGGAACATTTCATAGTGCAGGTTCAAGGCCTGTCTCCAGCACCACGGAAAATGCATGCCATGAATGTGCTTGTTATTCCGTGAGGGTGTGGAACATACATAGTTAAAACAGGGTTGATGAATCAGCTGTGTTTTGTAAACAGTGCCAACTGTAAAATTCAGCTAAAATTAAAAAAGGAATAAAATGCACTCTGATGATAAAGTTATTGTGTTTGTGGCGGCATATTGTTGCAAAACAAAAAAAAAGGACGAAAGAGAATAGATTCTCATATTTATTTATTATTTTCAGACATTTTTTTGTAGGGTTTGTGGGAGCTCTTCTTCAAATTATGGAAACCATCGAAGTTCGTTTCCAGCAGTGTCTTAATGGCATCAAGTGGTCACAAAAATGTCGTATGATATTAATACAATCAGTTTCAAGTATTTTATTTAATGATTTTCTGTATATTTTAACCTTTTCACCTTTCACCATAAATTTTTAGCCCCAAAATTTAATTTTTGATCTACAAGTTTTTATTGTTATTAGTGGTGATAGTTGCGCTGTTAGACAGAAAAGTGCAAAAATGTGCTGTTAAGCGCAAAAGCAATCGAATATATCGAATAGACGCACATGAATCAGAGAGCGACGAAACTTTTTGCCACCACTAGGGCCCTGTGCTTATAGCCTTATAGCCTATTCCCACAGGCCACCATACACCATCCTTTTCGAGGATGGTCCGTTATAGCCTTTTCACACTGGGGACCATCCACCATCCATTTCTGGGATGGTCCGTAAGGTTTTACCGTTCCGAAGATTTCCCAGTTATTCCAGCATCCATCTGGGATGATCCTAATCTAATTCGCACGTTTCTGTGCGGTATTTTTTCGATAATTGTCAAATGCAACCATAAATATTTGACATTCACAAAAAAAACTATTTATTAAACGGAACCCAAAGTATACAATGCTATGGCTATACAAAAATTAGCTTTAAAAACGCCTCGTTGTTTTCGGGTACATTTTTCTCCCAAAATGTCTCAAAACTCTTCTCAACAAACATAGAATATATATATTTGTATTTAAAACATTGATTGGATTTAGTAGGAGCAGTCACAAATGACCACGCTTCAAAGCTTTCAAAACAGATATCCATTCCAATAAATTCTCCTCTTCAATGTTGGACTCATTATCGTCATTCATGTCCAGCAACATGATTAGATTGGGCAAGAAAATATTTTGGTGCTGGATCACATTCACAACCATTGCAATATTATTAATATTCATTTAAATTATAAAATTATAAGTATATTTTCCGTCGCACCAAATTGTGTGCATCAAATGTTTTTGATAGATGGTGCCAGTGTGAATCGGCGTTTCACATCTTTAAAAAATTCCCACCATTCCCCCGGGATGGGCAGAGGGTAAAAAAAAACTACGTCTCCGGCAAGACGCAAAGAAGCATGACATAGCCCCAGTCTGAACAGCCTATAATGCCAACTAGTAACCAGAGCAATTTAAACGTTCGGTAGTGCTTTTGCGCTCTCTCTGTTAAAGGGCGCTCTGCACCTGTCGCCTCGGCTCTTGCTTTAATCGGCCTTGCTTTAATCTTTCGCCACACTGGTTGCATACCGAGCCCGTCTTGTGTACATTTATAGTGCCGGGCAATAGAGCGTTCACAGAAACGACTCATAACGTTCCTTCTTGTTCCTTTCCATCTCACTTAACTGATTTATGTGATCATAGCTCTAAAAAATTATAAGCTCAAAAATGTATATACTGACTGAGTACGGGTATAAGTAGAGTCGCGTCCCCAGAAGCGACTCACACGTTCCTTCTCGTTTTTATTTCTTTTGCTTGTCGAGGAATGCTGCCAACTTTTCAGCGACTAACATTTTTCTTTCATTCATTTTGGCGCCCACTGGCTTCCTCTCAGTGCTTTGTACCATCCATCCGCGCATTCAATTTGTGTGTACATAAATTTCGCAATGGACTTCTCGTGTTGGTTCTGCCGACAGCAGAGAAGAAGGAAATATATGGACTCCAGAGGAGGCACGCGAAAGAAATGGCGAGCGGAAACAAGTGGCCCTGACTGCAATGGAACGCAGAAGCGGCCGCAGAGGAAGCCGAGGCGACAGCCACAACAGCTGGCAGAGAGTGTTTCATAAGCCAGTTGCATAAACAACCAACGAAAATCCTCCATAACCGATAATCGAATGGCACTTTTTTATTCCTGAACAAATCAACGGGCTTCTCTCAAAAAACGGGCCGCGAGTTTCAGAGACCAAAAATGTGGAATTTGAATACATTCAGCAAACTATTATAGCTCCGGAAATTTAAATTCGGATAATTCGGAGCAAATACTAGCATTTATTTCAATTGGACAACTTAAAGCATTGACCAGAGGGTGAATAGTGGGGGCAAAAGCATTCCTTTGATTATGCGCCGATGTCACTGTCCAATGGAGCGTGAAATTACTGATAGAGTGGGTGGGAAGTGGTCTGATGTGATGAGAGCATACGACTAAAAGCGTGTGGACATGTAAATTCTCAAGAAACATTTCAAGGCAGGAAAAGTTCAAAAGTTAAAGTCCTCACTTCATGCTATGCTTGACTAGGAAGGGGTCCGAAGGGGTCTGTAAAAGGTGGTTTGGACATGAGAGTAGACACCGAGGGTCGGTTCCCATACTACATGTACATAAATATATTTATATAGTCTCTATCATTATATGAGTCTGCCATGCGTTGAAGGAGACGTGGAAAACAAACATACCGAATATAATTTAAAACTTAATGGATAATCAAATCGAGAATTATCGCGTTATTATGCCGAGGAAGAGTTCCATTCCCTCAATGCAGGCCTAACACTGATTTCTACGGCTTAAAGTTGAAAAAAGAAACTAGTTCGAGTTCTATGATTGGAATTTCCTAAATAATTGGAATTCTCGTGCAAGTAATAGGATAGAATATGGGAATTTGGATCAAAATTAGTAGGAAAAACAAAAGTTTTGGAATATAAATTTAAAGGAAGAGAGAAAGAAGTCGATGTGCTTGTATACTTGTAAGTATATGTATATTCACTCATGATAAAAACATCTCTACAGAAATTTTCGATTTAGTTGAATCCCAAGATAAATGGTACCGAACAATTTTGACCTAGTATATTAAAGTAAAAGTGAATGCTAGTACTTTTAAGATTTGCATCATATTCTGTTTTGCACTGCAAAAATCTGGGAAAACAGTATAAATATTCATGGTTGGATAAAACACTGTAACGCAAGCATTTAAAGGGTGAAAATCGTTAGCCATCCGTGGCTAACCGTTAAGCCGTTTACACGACCTGACTCCATGCCGTAATGCCCAGCCCCAACATATGTTTATATGGGTGTCGGCTCCAGTGTCATCATTACAACGACTAGGATTACGATTACTGTCATCGTCATGTCATCCCGTACACTCAGCCACACACACTTGCATACTTAGCCAACGTCTTTATGACTTTTTGCGCAGGAATGATAAGAAAAGTTTTTCTGAACCATTTCTCGGGCATGATCCCAGACCGAAGGCTTATGTCCTGGTGGAAACATATGGCATGTTGCCAGGCAGAACATTTAATGGTCTGCCAAATGGCCGGGACCAGGACATTAAAAGTTGCTTAACCTTCATTAGGCGCCCGATTCTTATTCCAACTGTCAGTGAATTGAAATTTAATATGTGTCAAGCTCTTCATGACAGAGTTTGACGAAAGGAAGACCAAGGATAATCAGGTTTTTCTCCGTTCCGTTGTAGGAGCTTAATATCCCATTTGTTCAAGGTTTCACTGCATCTCAATGATATTCTGGAAAAAATTACAAATCACCGCAAATGTCGTCATGTAGAGGAAGAAGAGTAGCATGGCTTTAATGATCCAAGGATATGCCCCGCAGTCAGCACGAAGACGGGGTCATAGTGGGGAGGTCAGTAGAAGCAGATTATCCAGCCATGGCAGTCAAGCTCAATTTCCAGTTTGTTTCATTTATCCTTTCCTTTATAACCTTTAAATCCTCTAAGTACCTATATTTAAGGAATGAGAGTGTGTATTTTAACTAAAATTTCAGACCACTACAGTAAGTGGCTATTTCGATTTACAGGCTAGAAATACATTCGGTGGAAACAACAAACTGTTTTAAAATTCTCTTTTCGGACTGGCTGAATTATGACTGTCGCTTCTGGGGAAGGACTCTGCGGGCCTTCGCCTTCCCCTTGATTTTCTTCCGTTTGGCATTGTCTATCCTATTGGCAGCCTTCTGGCGTTCTTGTTGCTCGTTGGCCTGGGGAAAAGTCACCACATTTGGGTTTCGGTAAGTGTGTACTTATATGTAAAGAAATGGGTCATACCACGCGGTCGATCTCCGCCTGGTTCTCGGCCTGTATCAAGGCTTGAACTTCGGCAATACGGCGACGCATAAAGATCACATTATCAATTGCTTCTTTCAAGTCATCGCGAGCTTTGCTCAGGCGAAAGTTGTTTTGCAGTATTTCGTCCTCCCAGTGATCCATGTCCCTATCGAATTTATCACTGAGTACGCTCAATCGATTACGGTAGTTCTGGTAGAGAAGAATAAGTTTGGTTTAAAAGGGGAGGAGGACGAGGACCCACTACATTTACTTTACCTCTATGATCACGTAGTAGGTATTGAGGGAGGATTGCGTGGTGTCGTTTCCCTGCTGTATGTACCTCCTGACGTCCTCGAGCTCCTTCTGTAGCTGGCGTGTGCGCACGTTGTCCTTCATTTCCTGCATCTCCACCTGGGTGTCGTAGTAGGCACAGAGGTAGCGGCACTCGATGGGAATCGTCACAGTAGCCTCCATGCAGTGCTGCTGAAGCTCTTCGACCATATTGCTCTTGTAGCCCTCCCACCAGGCGTTCGAATAGCGACGGGCCTTAAAGTTTGTGTTTTCCAGAGAGGCTCTCGACTTTTCGAGGTCCACCTCCAAAGCATTGTCGATGATAAGCATTTGCTTCTGCTCCCAGATCAGAGCCAGCAGTTTGCGGTAGCCGGCGCCCTTGAAGATCTCAGAGTAGAAATACCTATAGAACCGCTCAGTCTCCTGAAGATCCACCCGGTACTTGGCCCAGCCCAAGGTGTTGGCGGTGTGGTCCCGCAATAGAACGTCCAAGTAGACAAAGTCCTTAAGCTCGCGTCGTCTAAAGAAATCCTCCAACGACCAGGAGAACATGTTGTGGGGTAGGTCCTTCACATCCATCTCCCCTTTGTGGATACAAGCTTTCATAAGAACCTGCAGCTGGTAACATGTGCGCCTGAACATATAGAACAGCGACGAGCGCTGCATGGACTCCAACAATTCATCATATCGACCCATTTTCGTAGCCAGCTGAAAGAGCTGGTCCCCTATCTGGATCGTGCTGGTCTGGGGCATGAAGCTGTTGAGGGTCTCCTTATGCTTTAGCTTGCGCACGAAGCTCTCGAGGGTCCAATTCGGGGGTCGTGAGAATTGAGGGTCCAACGAATATGCACTAAAAGCAGATCCAACGTTGGCCAGCAGGGGGCCTGCATGATCTACTTCATTGACATTGCAGATACCCAGATCTTCAAACAAGGTCTGCAGGAACTGGTCCCGACAAAGCGCCGGATCGTAGTCGGAGTCAATAGGCATTATCCTCTTGTACAACTCCTCCATGTCCTCATCGAGGACTTCTTCCTGCTGGGGTACACCGGATCTCTGCACCCCGGCGTATTGCACACTGGCACGCGAATCTATCGATCCGTCCGACATAATTGTGTGAATAGACATGATAGGGGTCACCTTGGTGCGTGTAAAGTAAAACAACAAACGAAAACAGAATCCAACAATATGTAAAGGGAGTCAACACAAAAATTGGAATATAGTATTGGGAAAACTAATACTGAAAACAGGAGCAATGGAATCTACGTACAAGGAAATAGAAAAGCTTCCGTAACCATTGATAATGACGCTAATTACGTAACCCCGTCATTTGTAACGCCGTTTTTCACGGCTTTATCTATTTCACACTATAAATCCGTCTCGGCACGCCACATTTTAAAGGGGTCCTATATAAGGCGCCTCTCCAAGTAACCCCAAATGTAAGCCATCCAGTCCCAGAATGCGGATCGTTTACTGTAATGCGCTGTCCGCGCTTTTAATCCTCCAAGCCACCGTCATCATCGAGGCAAGCGATTGCGTGCTTTGCAAGATTCTGGACCACGCAAAAAAACATAATCCTCTTCTATCGGCCAACCTCAGCATCAAAGGGGGTCTTCAGTTTTCTGACGGATTCGAGTCACAGTCCCAAGGCCAGCATCCAGCTCTCCAAGACCAAAATGAGGACCAACACCGCGCACAGGGCCACGTAAATGTGCAGCTAAAGATTCAACATCAGAGACCAGACCAAAATGGAATTACAGGAAACATTCTAAACCAACCAAGACCGCGTCAATCAGAGCTACAGAACAATTTGGATGGCGATGCGACTCACGAGACTATGCATTATCCGAGCTCAGTCCCGTCGGTTCAGCAATCGTTTTACATCGATGGCCAGAGAGATTTACAACAGAAAACGTTCTTCAAACAACTTAAAAAAAATCACTTCACGCAGGCCGACATTGAAATCGACAGGAAGCTGAAGACGGTGAGTAGTACAGAAGAAACATCATTATATACGGATATGCTATCTTGAAACGTGGAATATTTCTAACAGGTTGAGCTTATCAAGAAGTACGGATATCCGGTAGAGACCCATTTCGTGACCACAAAAGATGGCTACAAGCTCTGCATGCACCGCATGCCGCGACCGGGTGCTCAGCCCATTTTACTAGTCCACGGACTCATGTCCAGCTCAGCGGCTTGGGTGATGATGGGCCCGGCAAATGGACTAGCCTACATACTGTTCCAAAAGGGCTACGATGTCTGGATGCTGAACACCCGTGGCAATATCTACTCCAAGGAGCACACGAAAAAGTTTATCAGACTACAAGAATACTGGGACTTCTCCTTCCACGACATCGGTACCAACGATGTGCCATCGTCCATCGACTTGATCCTGGAGCGCACGAATTTCCAGAAGATTCAGTACATTGGGCACTCTCAGGGCTCAACTGTATTCTTCGTTATGTGCAGCGAACTCCCCGAGTACTCCAGCAAAGTGATTCTCATGCAGGCCCTCTCCCCGACAGTGTATATGCAGCAGACTCGCAGTCCGGTGCTCAAGTTCATGAGCTTTTTCAAAGGACCCCTGACGGTGAGTCGGAGCCGTATTTATTGACTCACTTGCCATGACTTCCAGGGCGTACTTGCAGATACTATTCGAGCACCTCGGAGGCCACGAGATTTCCCTGAACACAAAGCTCATCCATCAGTTCCGGAACCACATCTGCTCGGTCAACGAGATCACGAGCTTAATATGCGGAGTCTTTGACTTTGTCCTATGTGGCTTCAATTGGCAGGGCTTCAATCGGGTATGAATCGGGGCTTTAGCTGATCTAAGAGAAGACTTGGATCGAACCTTTTAAACTCCCTGTCACTTCTTAGACTCTGACTCCCATCATCGTCGGTCACGCTTCCCAGGGAGGCTCCACCAAACAGATCCATCACTACGCCCAGTTGCACATGAATCTCTACTTCCGGCGCTATGACCATGGTCCGACTAAAAACCTCATACGCTACCACTCCATCTCTCCACCATCCTACAACCTGTCGCAGACGCAGTGCAGGGTGGTCCTGCATCACGGGGCCAACGATTGGCTGGCCTCTGGCTCGGACGTCACCAACCTGCAGCAGCGTTTGCCGAACTGCATTGAGAGCCGGAAAGTGAAACTCAGGAGCTTCACGCACTTCGACTTCGTCATATCAAAGGACGTTCGGTCTCTGGTCTACAATCGCGTTGTTGACCTAGTTGCCACGAAAAAGATTCAACATCAAAGGCTAGCTCAACATGGAATTACAGAAAACTCACATGATTTCATTATTCCAAATCAACAAAGACCGCAGTGGAATCAAGGTCAATCAGATCAACAGAACAATTTTTATGGCGATGAGACTCAGGATATTCTGAAATATCCAAACTCAGACCCGTCGGTTCAGCATTCGATAGATGGCCAGAAAAATATACCACAGGGCACCTTCTTAATTCCACCTGTACAAAATCACTTCACGCAGCCCAACATTGAAATCGACGGGAAGCTGAAGACGGTGAGTAGTACATAAGAAACATCATTCTATACGGATATGCTATCTTGAAACGTGGAATATTTCTAACAGGTTGAGCTTATCAAGAAGTATGGATATCCGGTAGAGACCCATTTCGTGACCACAAAAGATGGCTACAAGCTCTGCATGCACCGCATGCCGCGACCGGGTGCTCAGCCCATTTTATTAGTCCACGGACTCATGTCCAGCTCAGCGGCTTGGGTGATGATGGGCCCGGCAAATGGACTAGCCTACATACTGTTCCAAAAGGGCTACGATGTCTGGATGCTGAACACCCGTGGCAATATCTACTCCAAGGAGCACACGAAAAAGTTTATCAGTCCGAAAGAATACTGGGACTTCTCCTTCCACGACATCGGTACCAACGATGTGCCATCGTCCATCGACTTGATCCTGGAACGCACGAATTTCCAGAAGATTCAGTACATTGGGCACTCCCAGGGCTCAACTGTATTCTTCGTTATGTGCAGCGAACTCCCCGAGTACTCCAGCAAAGTAATGCTCATGCAGGCCCTCTCCCCGACAGTGTATATGCAGCAGACTCGCAGTCCGGTGCTCAAGTTCATGAGCTTTTTTAAGGGATCCCTGATGGTGAGTCGGAGCCGTATTTATTGACTCACTTTGTTGACTTCCCGGGCGTATTTACAGACGCTTCTTTTACAACTGGGAGGCTATGCTATCTCCCTGTCAACAAAGCTCATTGAGCAGTTCAGACACCACATCTGCCCGGCTAACGAGATCACCAGTCAAATTTGCGGAATGTTTGACTTTGTCTTATGTGGCTTCAATTGGCAGGGCTTCAATCGGGTATGGATCGGGGCTTTAGCTGATCTAAGAGAAGACTGGATCGAACCTTTTAAACTCCCTGTCTCTTCTTAGACTCTGACTCCCATCATCGTCGGTCACGCTTCCCAGGGAGGCTCCACCAAGCAGATCCATCACTACGCCCAGCTGCACATGAATCTCTACTTCCGGCGCTATGACCACGGTCTGGCTAAAAACCTCATACGCTACAAATCCTTCTCCCCACCATCCTACAACCTGTCGCAGACGCAGTGCAGGGTGGTCCTGCATCACGGGGCCAACGATTGGCTGGCCTCTGGCTCGGACGTCACAAACCTGCAGCAGCGTTTGCCGAACTGCATTGAGAGCCGGAAAGTGAAACTCGAGAGCTTTACGCACTTCGACTTCGTCATATCAAAGGACGTTCGGTCTCTGGTCTACAATCGCGTTGTTGACCTAGTTGCCACGAAAAAGATTCAACATCAAAGGCTAGCCCAACATGGAATTACAGAAAACTCACATGATTCATTTATTCCAAATCAACAAAGACCGCAGTGGAATCAAGGTCAATCAGATCAACAGAACAATTTTAATGGCGATGAGACTCACGACTTTATGCAATATCCGAATTCAGACCCGTCGGTTCAGCAATCGATTTATATTGGGGGCCAGAAAGATATACAACAGGAAACGTCATTCATGTCCCCTGTGCATGAGCAGATTCAACATCAGAGGCCAGCCCAACACGGAATTACAGAAAACTCATTTTATCCATTCATTCCAAAACTACCAAGACCGCAGTTGAGTCAAGGTCAATATGAGCAACAGAACAATTTTAATGACGATGCGACTCACGACTTTATGCAATATTCGAATTCAGACCCGTCGGCTCAGCAATCGATTTATGTGGGTGGCGAGAGAAATTTACAACAGAGAACGTTCCTTATACCACCTTTACAAAATCACTTCACACAGGTCGATATTGAAATCGACGGGAAGCTGAAGACGGTGAGTAGTACATAAGAAACATCATTCTATACGGATATGCTATCTTGAAACGTGGAATATTTCTAACAGGTTGAGCTTATCAAGAAGTATGGATATCCGGTAGATACCCATTTCGTGACCACAAAAGATGGCTACAAGCTCTGCATGCACCGCATGCCGCGACCGGGTGCTCAGCCCGTTTTACTAGTCCACGGACTCATGTCCAGCTCAGCGGCTTGGGTGATGATGGGCCCGGCAAATGGACTAGCCTACATACTGTTCCAAAAGGGCTACGATGTCTGGATGCTGAACACCCGTGGCAATATCTACTCCAAGGAGCACACGAAAAAGTTTATCAGTCAGAAAGATTACTGGGACTTCTCCTTCCACGACATCGGTACCAACGATGTGCCATCGTCCATAGACTTGATCCTGGAGCGCACGAATTTCCAGAAGATTCAGTACATTGGGCACTCCCAGGGCTCAACTGTATTCTTCGTTATGTGCAGCGAACTCCCCGAGTACTCCAGCAAAGTGATGCTCATGCAGGCCCTCTCTCCGACAGTGTATATGCAGCAGACTCGCAGTCCGGTGCTCAAGTTCATGAGCTTTTTCAAAGGACCCCTGACGGTGAGTCAGAGCCGTATTTGTTGACCCACTTTGTTGACTTCCCGGGCGTATTTACAGACGCTTCTTTTACAACTGGGAGGCTATGCTATCTCCGTGTCAACAAAGCTCATTGAGCAGTTCAGACACCACATCTGCCCGGCTAACGAGATCACCAGTCAAATTTGCGGAATGTTTGACTTTGTCCTATGTGGCTTCAATTGGCAGGGCTTCAATCGGGTATGGATCGGGGCTTTAGCTGATCTAAGAGAAGACTGGATCGAACCTTTTAAACTCCCTGTCTCTTCTTAGACTCTGACTCCCATCATCGTCGGTCACGGTTCCCAGGGAGGCTCCACCATGCAGATCCATCACTACGCTCAGCTGCACATGAATCTCTACTTCCGGCGCTATGACCATGGTCCGACTAAAAACCTCATTCGCTACAAATCCATCTCCCCACCATCCTACAACCTGTCGCAGACGCAGTGCAGGGTGGTCCTGCATCACGGGGCCAACGATTGGCTGGCCTCTGGCTCGGACGTCACAAACCTGCAGCAGCGTTTGCCGAACTGCATTGAGAGCCGGAAAGTGAAGCTCGAGAGCTTCACGCACTTCGACTTCGTCATATCAAAGGACGTTCGGTCTCTGGTCTACAATCGCGTTGTAAACCTGATTGTCACGAACTAGAAAGAGAGATAAATATGATTTGTTGTGATAGAATTCTTGACTGTGGAAGAGTTGAATAAAAAACGAGAAGGAACGTGTGAGTCGCTTCTGGGGACGCGACTCTACTTATACCCGTACTCAGTCAGTATATACATTTTTGAGCTTATAATTTTTTTGGAATTTTAAAATTAAAAAAAAAAAATTTTAGTATTACATTTTTATACCCGTACTCAAAAAAGAGTTAAGGGGTATATTAGATTTGTGGTAAAAGTGGATGTGTGTAACGCAGAGAAGGAAAAGTTTCCGACCCCATAAAGTATATATATTCTTGATCAGCATCAATAGCCGAGTCGATATAGCCATGTCTGTCTGTCCGTCTGTCCGTCTGACCGTCTGTCCGTCTGTCTGTCTTGTTGAGCGCCTAGATCTCAGAGACTATAAGAGCTGGGGCAACTAAATTTGGTTTCCAGACTTATGTGATATCCCACTGCTACAAGTGTATTTCAAAATTTCGCCCCACCCCCTTCCGCCCCCACAAAAGACGAAAATCTGAAGCAGGCACAGTATCGTAGAGAATGACCATATCTACCAGACTGCCGAATCTGAATCAGATCGGATCATAATTATAGCAAGAATGAAGAAATTCATTTTCAGCTGCTTCCCCTTCCCCCTCCGTCAAACGAAAACGCAACTCATTTTCCTTCTCGCTCGCACACTCTGTCGCGTTCAGTGCGCGAGCAACCCCTAGCGGAGGAGATGTAGAATATGAATGGAACATGTACAATCTACATGTTAGATGTAGAATAGACATTGTATATGTAGATGTAGATAGCAGATGTAGCAAAAAAATTTAAAAAAATTTTTTTTTTCTAAAATTTTAAAATATCATAAGCTCAAAAATGGTTATACTGACTGAGTACGGGTATAAGTAGAGTCGCGTCCCCAGAAGCGACTCACACGTTCCTTCTCGTTTTGCTATACATTATACATGTACCATTTAGATTCTACATTTCCTCCGCTAGGGGTTGCTCGCGCACTGAACGCGGCAGAGTGTGCGAACGAGAAAGAGAATGAGTAGCGGGTCGCTTGCTGTAGGAGGCGGGGGAGCCAACTGAAAATCAATTTCTTTACTCTGGCTATAATTATGATCCGATTTAGATTCGGCAATCTGCTATGATACTGCGCTTAGTTTTATTTTTTTAACCCAAACCAAAAAAAAAGTAAAGGGGGTAGTTGGGGTGGAGGTTTATGGGGGATTTCCCCCCCCAAAAAAAAAAATTTTTGATCAGCATCAATAGCCGAGCGATAGCCATGCTGCGCCGCGCGCCGATGACCGACTCCAGAATTTGGTTTCCAGACTCAGGAATCCCACGCAGGTCTCAAGGCGATTTACGGGCATTCTTAAATTGTGTCTGCCACAGATTTGTAGAAAACAAATGTAATAAAAAAAGGATTTTGAAATTCCACATATATCATAATCTCACATATTTATATAATAACTGAGTACGGGTATAAAATAGAAAAAAAAAAAAAAAAAAAAAAAAGGGGGGGGGGGGGGGGAGAGGGGGGGGGGAAAAGGGCCTCCCTTGTAAAAAAGGGGGGGGAAAAGATTTGAAAAAAAAAAAAAAAAAAAAAAAAAAGAAAAAAAAAAAAAAAAAAAAAAATTTAAAAAATTTTTAAAAAAAAAAAGTGGGGGGGTAAAAGAGGTCGCGTCCACAGAAGCGACTTACAACGTTCCTTTTCGTTTCATTTTGAAATTAAGATTCGATTTGTTGTATACTTTTACTTTTCATTTCGGCGAGTTTTGTTGCCATTTTGAAAGCGCAAAATTTTGCGCTTTCCGAATGCGGTAGAGCCTAACGTTCCGTTTTCCAAAGTAAATCGGAAATTTTTGCGAAAGTGAAAATTTGAGCCTGTCTGACTATTTCCAAACATACTAAGTCTTATGCTTAATAAGCAGACGCGCTTAATTCTCCATCGACCGAAATTGCTATATATTTCGCTCTGTGCCCAGTGTGACCAAAGTTTGAAAAGTGTATGCTCTACAGTTACATTATTTTTTTTGTTTATCTGTTAAAATGAACATATATGTATGTATATACCAATTCCTTGCATATACAGTTGTGTTCAATGAAATAGTAGTGCCGCAGGTCACTACTTTCAAACTCTTTTTGAGAGATTTCTTAACGGAAAGCCTGGAATGTAAGCATTAGAAACTCGAAGAAACTCCGTTATATTTTCATTTCATCTTCTTGTTTTTCATGACTTTCGACAACTACCCATGATATCTGCTGTTCAATGAAATAGTAGTGCTGGGTTAAATTAATTTTTTTAAATGAAAAAACAAAGCAAATTATTTTAAACAAGCCACCATACGTAAGCTCGATATCGAATAATTGGATGAAAGAAAGTTTTGGACATAGCGGTACTTTTGATTTTGGAGCGTTGAAGAAGTCATTGCTCGGTCCAGAAGAGGAGACCTAAGAGTTAGACTAAAAACTTAAGACAGGAGGTATAATGGAATTAAAAACTAACTTTGATGCGCCCTCACTATTGAAATTAACCCAATTAACTATATGAATTCGACTGAACATCAATTTTGTATGCGAAAAGCTTATTTTTTAGAGGATGGTCGAAGGCAAGACCATGCCTTCAATAACTTAAAAAATTATGAAGACAATTTTATTTCGCTCTGCCAGTGTTGTGACAGTTTGTAAACGGTTGAATCATGAAAAGAATAGCATTGGGCATACTAGGCTGAGCCTTATACATAGTATGGTATTGAGAAAAACTGTGTATGTAGGCATACATTAGAATACATTACATTCATATTACAGTTGTGTAAGGCAACACCTTTAACATGAGTACCACTATCCATCCCATAGTACCCTGATAGCCTGATTGATAGCCCGATATCACCTTCTGCGATAGTCTTATGCGATAAGTCTTATGGATACTGATCGATTGGATCAATAGGAGGAGGTGATAACAGCGAGACGAGGGAATTCATCGATCGACAAGAAAATAAAGAGGACGAATAAAAATAAAGAAAAGATAGATATTAAAAGAACAAAAACTCGTGTCACAACTTTAGAAGTGGGATACGCAATCCAAAGCCACTTTAAGAACTCCTACGTTTATTCATCTTTTAAGGAAAACCATCATTTACCACGTTGCCATGGAGAAGCAGCAGCTGGCAGACTGGCTGGACTTGCAGAATATTGCGCACTCGAGCAATGCAACTTTACGGCAGCTACAGAAACTCGCTTCCTGATCATCCAACCAGCCCTATTGTTCCGAACAAATCTGACGCTTCTGCCGACTCCGACATTCCGGCCGACCTTAACCTCATCTTGAAAAGCGGCTCCGACACGCTGGCTCCACAAATTGACGAGGCGCGCACCCAAAACGATGCCTACCAAAACACGCTTGAATAATAGAATATGATCGACGCCGCCATTAGAGTTTTACAAAAAAAAGGCTTTGCTCTTTGATCCAACTTCAGAAAACATTCTTTATTCCGGCAAAAACTTCCGTTATGGAACTCTTGCAAATGCCAGAGTTGGCGTTACGTGCAAGAGTATGTGAGATTGAAGCAGTCCACTTCATCATCGATGGTTTCCGTGACTCCTAGCCAGCCATTGCCATGTTGTACGGAGCGTAAACTATCAACGAAATTAAGGAATTGTCACACCGTTATGCTGACTTACGAGCAAAAAACAAACCAAAATGGAACTCATCGACTGTCTCTTCAGCTTCAATCTACATGGTGAGATGCGATGCTACAATTGTTGGTGTCCAAACACTACGCTTCAGACTGTTAGGCTCTTGGACACACTATAAAGACGTGCCTGGAGAAATCACAAATTTACACCAAATCAGCAATGGAAGAGAGGATGAGGACAGCGACAAATACCCAATTTTTCCGATATTTGACCAGGTAGGAGTATATTTTTACACTGATCCAATACGCAAAACTTATAAAAATATTCTTTCCGCTATGTTCGACACGGGCAGCGCCGTTAATATTGAGAAAGCTTCAACATTACCGTGCAAAAACTTCAAAAAACATACTCTTTTACCATTGAAGCTGCGTAGTGTCAGCGGCTCACTTCTTTTCTCTTACGGAAAAATTTACTTACACATAACCTATCATGACATTGAGAATATGATTTTTTTTTTATATTATGGCAGACGAAGAAGACTTGCTGTTGGGTCGATGTTCGGGCCAGCGGCTACTTAAGCGTCTATCATAATATTAAATGTAGCTGTAACTAGTTGTATACGAGTATCGAAACCTAAGCTTATGTATGTCCCCAGCGTTCGGCAGTGCTGCTGCGCTCTCCCTGTTAAAGGGCGCTCTGCACCTGCTGCGTCGGCTCTTGCATTGATCGGCCATCGCGGCCCAAGTAGTTCTATGCTAATCTCTCGCCGCATAGGTTGCATACTGAACCCCCGCTTGTGAACATTTATCTGGCTGGGCAAAAGAGCGAGCAATTGGCTTCAGCTAGCCGCCGGTATAAATAAACATTATAACGTTTAAATCAAAGTCTTTAACTGATTTGGATAAATATAGGTGCCAAAAAAGCTTGGCATCTCAAACAGTGGTGACCCCGACGTGACTTAACCACAATTTTTAATCGCGTTTCGTTTAAAAACTATAAAAATCGAATAAGATATTCGTTGCTGTGCCGTTTAACGACCAACAAATACATTTTGTGCAAATAAGAACAGTTAAAGGGCAAGTTCAGTGAGACTGCAGCCGTCTAATATTCCGTTGCTTAATCGCCGATTCTCTCTTGCTCTGCGCCGCTGCAGCCGCGGCCCTTGACTTTCCGTGTCTTCTATTCTCGCTCCCGTTCTTTCGCCGTCGCTTAAGCGGTCTTACATTGCCCGTTCTTTCGTTGTATTACACCGGTTGGCATGGACAAAGAGCCGAATACAGGTGCGGGCGGAAATATTGCGATGGAGGAAAAAAGGCTGAGGCTTTACAAGCGTAAAGTTCAGTCTCTGCATGATCGGCTGCAGCGTCTTGGCCAGTCATTCTCGGGGAATAAAATCGACAATCTAAGTGCGGCTGTTATAGATGTGCGCCTCGATATGTTGGCTGAAATGCGTGAGGGGTTCAACGAGTCCCATAATGAGTTG